CGCCCTGGGCGGCACCGGGAGGCCCGTGGGGATGCGAAGAGCCAGAGTCCCAGACCCCAAAATCCGCCATGGAGAGTTACACTGGGTTTTGCCTGCGTGCGTGCGTTACCGGTCCTGTGCAAACTCCTACAAGTGTCTTTAATGTCATGTGCGTGTGAGACCTCTCTGGGCTGAGGACCTTTGAGCTAAGGCTGAGTATGAGGCTCTGCAGAACTGTGGCACTAATTAGTAGGAGAAAAAAAACCAAACTTGGCAGAACTCATCTAATTTTATTAATTTTTTTTTTTCTTGGGGTCAGAGCTGAAACTGCTTGGGTCCCAGTCAGTGAGATGGATCCTACCTTGCAAGCTGTAAAACTGCAGCCGAGCAAAGAGCTCAGAGCACAAGTCCAGGCACTAAATCAGGCCCTTAGTCAGTAGAGACAAAAGGTTAATTAGGTTGGCCAACACACCTGGCAGCCAAGCTGAAGTGGACAGGCGTAATATGAGGGAAATGGCAGTGAGGGAATGACAGTGGGCACTGAGATTAGCCATCTACGGTAAATTTCTACATTTATTTTTAAAGAAGCCTACAAGGTTGCACATTCAAAATACTGAAAGCATTTCGTATGTCTCTGCTTTTTGTTTAACAGACGCTTTCTGCTATTCCTTCTGCTTCCTCACTGCCCATCACTATCTGGTCTCTGAGTAACAGACTTGCACCTGCAGTCTTGTGAAACTAGAGAAAGTTTGGTTCTTCACAGCAGCTAAAAAAGGAACCCTAGAGGACAACTTGAAGGCTAATACATAAACCCTTGGGAGTTTTGAATTGAGACTAGCAGTGCATCTTTACATATGTGCTGCTGCAATGTAACACGGGAGAGGAACTAACTAATTTTATAGCAGGCATCTTTTAAAAGGTATCTCTCATCCAACCTTGATTCATAAGAAAGTTCTCTGAATCTGAAAATGTAGCCTCTGACTCTGTAGTTGTAAATCTGTAGGATTTAAACAGGAAAGTAGTAACTTGCTTGGAAATTGATTGTAGCTGTCACTACACAGCAGGTTGGATTATGAAGTTAAGTCTTTCCACAATAAATGAACATACTTCAGATGGCAATTATGATTTTCTCCAGTTATCATTTTTTATAAAGAGGCAGGATGGCAAGGAGAGATAGTACCCTTCATTAGGCCAAGAGTTGAATAAACCAGGCAAGCCTTAGAGTATGTAAATTCTCCATCAGCCCATCATAGAACAGCATCCCCACCACTCAGTCGTTGCGATCAGTATGCTGAAAAGAAAATTGGCGGTGCTGAATTCTTCCCTGGGTTATGATAATTCTGGAAAACTGTATGTTTATCTAGTCGTTACAACATAATTTATAACTCACCTTATTCTGTATTCTAGTTTTCTCTTTCATTTTATTCCTTAATATGTTATCTTTCAGCATTTTGTTACAAATGCATTGAAAAAGAAGATGCAGTTTCATCTCATTTTTGTATCTCATCTGATTAGGACTACAAAACTAAACACTATGAGATTGAATCCAAATCTGACGTACATCCTTGTCATGCTAACTTTAGTGTATATATAGAGAGAGGTTGTGTATTTGTGAACCATGTTTTCACATTTCTTATATTTCCCTCAAAATGAGAGCAAGGGTAAAATTTTCAGCAGCAGCATGCAAGTCACCTGGGTTTGTAAATCCCATTTTCAAGGCTATTTTAAGAGCTTCTAAGAATTTCAGAGTGGCTTTGTCTTACTGCCACGTAGCACCTGTCATTTCTGAGAATGGCACTTAGGCTCTCTGAGTGCTTTTGAAGTGTTTCCTCTTGGTTCCTAAAAGTAATCTGAGGACACGTTGATGTGGGGTATTAGTCCTTAGGCAGAAAGGACTGAATAAAAGTTATCTCTCAGTTCATCGTCTGTATTCCTTTCCTTGCAGCTGTTTGGAACGATAGTCTGGATTTTGGTAGCTTCTACCCGAGTTCCACTGCCGCTGCTGCAGGGATGGGTAATGTTTGTAGCAGTGACTGCGTGGTTCCTGTCCATTGTGTTCCTGTGTGTGTTCCTCTTCGGTTATGCAAATAGAATTGCTGTCAACTGGAACCAGACGGTAAGATTTTTTTCTTTATTTAAGGATTCCCTTTGTTTTATAAACTGAAAATCATTTAATGAGAAGTACTGATCCTAAGTCTTAAAGCCTGGCCTTCTGTTTTAGCGGAAAGTTTTTCAAAACAGAGGAATTCAAAACTGGAAAAAGAAAGAGTAGGGCTACAAGGATGACGGAGAAAATACAGGACCTGTTTTATGATGGAGGTTGAAAGAGCCCAGCTTTTGAAACTGATTGAAGGAGTATACTTGTCTTCTATGAGCACGTGAAATGCATGAGTAGCAGGAAGAGGACTAGTTTAACAAGGCATGACAACAAATTGGTTTAAATGGCCAGAAATAATTATGGACTGGAATCGGAAAATATTTTCTGACGATTAGAGAAGTGGTAGTAACACCCTGTGAATAATGGGGGGTAGAAAGTTACATCTAATATTGTAAAGGAAGCGATACACTTGTGAACACATTGTGTGGTGTGGTTGTCTGAGATAGCATGGACTGGACTAAAGCACCCGGGAAGTCTCCAGTTCCTAAGAAAGTCTTTTGCTGACTTTTGGGTCAATTCCTTAAAGCTGGGGCAGCTTTAAGGAATTATATCACACACATATCAGCACAACCTGCTGATATAGTTTAACATCTTTTTAGAAGACGTAACATTTATCTTTCTTAGAGGAAGCCTGGTGAGACTACAGATATTATTATACTCTGCTCAGCTTTTCTTCGTTGTGAAGACAAGACTTGATTCTTGCTGTAATGGATTGTTACGGCTTGTGCCGGTAGTTCTCACAGACTGTACCTTCCTATTAAAAAAAGGGAAGCTGTTGGCTCCAGTTTTTACCAACCACATGGATTCCTCAGGTTATTGACTGCTAATTTATGTACTCCTTTGTTGTCATGAACTGTTTTTTACTTTGAGGTTTTAGTGCTTAAGTAGTTGAGCATGAGATAGTATCACACTTTTGTGTTACTGGAAGTGAATAATAAGAGGTGGCAAAACTGTGATCAGAATGGGAATTTCCAAAAAATCTTCCCAAAAGACCAAAACTTCTAAAATATTAAAGTATGGCTGTTTCTAACTGCTGATCACCTTCACCTTGCGTGCTTCAGTATCACCATCTGTGGTTATTTATCTGTTCAAGTTATTCATGGACAGTCCCTTAAAACAAAGCAAATCATAGAGCTTCATGAGTTTGGGGCTCTAACTGATAACTTCAAAGCCCATCAGGGGTAACACACTGGGTTCTATTAAAACAAACTTTAGCACTTTGATAGCGAACACACATACATACAGTCTCAGCTTTCCAGCACAATACAGGCAGTAATTAGGCTAATAATGAGTTACAAGTACAGAGACCTTTACAGGGATTTATGCTGCGACATCCTCACAAGTTATGGTGCAACAAAGCCCTTGAGCATGTGCATAACTTAAGTAAATTAATAGTGTCCTGGGTTTCATTGAAACTGTTTGCCAATTTACAATCATGCATCTATTTAAGAGTTGCTGGGTGAGGGCATAGCCTTTTATAGATTGAAAATGCTATACAAATGTTCATCTTATAACAGTTGTGTAAGTGTGCCTTACACATTGGCTACTTGATGCTGGCAGTGATTTGTTGTACTGTTAATTTTGTCCCCTTGTATATGATAAACTACTGAAAAACTTTCTATTTCAGGAAATTGCTACATGACTTGTATACAAGCTGCATCTGTGGGACTCTGTAACTTAATCTAAAAATCTGTCATAACTAAGTCAACATCTTAAATAAATGCAGAGTGAATCGTTTTATCTCTAACATGGTAGCTGAAATCCAGCCCCTTCCAGCTGTCACCAAAATAACACTAGGTAGATCTTTTGATCACTATTTTCAGGTACCCAAATGTTCTGTAACTTGTTGGCACTAAACTCTTTAGCAATACTGCACAAAGACTTTTTTACCTTCTGTTGCAAATAAATAATTTCTAGAAACACTAAAACTATTTTTATTACTATAAAATAAAAAGGTGTACCTGTTTGTTTTAGGTTGGCATGTATTTAGATAAATACGTGGGGTTTGCTATTTCATAAATTAAATTTACAATAGAACTCAGAAGCTACAGGTCATTAGATTAGGTCAAAAATAGGAAGAGTCATGGCTTAGTTACATTGGAGTACTATAGCTTCATGTAGAGATTAAAATGTGGTTGATGTAGAGATAAATGTGGTTTAAGACTCCAGGATTTTAAATGTCAGTTTGAAAAACAGCATGGGATTCTGACAGCCCTGCATTTAATAATACCTTACATCATAAGTAGCTCCATTGGTACTAATACAGATACTTAAAAAATAAGATGCCACACAGTGAAAAGGTGGGGGAAAATACGGACCTTATGGAGGTACATTGCTCTGTACATCTCTTTATTAAACCAGATGGCATGACAAATACTGTCCTTAACAGCCTGACTCACAATACACTCATTTACAAAATTAGATGTGAACTAACATATCATGCAGATGTGGTAGTGTTTTACATACACTTTGTATGAGGTTTCAATGATTATACAAGTGTGGAGGCCAGGGAGAGTTAGGCACCATGCTAACAATTACTAAAAAACAAAAAAAACCTCCCTCGTAAGGTCTTGGGTTTTTTAGTCACAGAAACCATAACCATACGAACGTGAAACCTTACCGATGTTACATAGCTTCACGGTAATTGCTGCCAGGAGAAGGAAATTAGAGGGTTTGGCAGGAGAATGAAGGAAATGAAAGAGGTTGTCTCCTGAAAATACCTCCCCTGTATGCAGTCAGCACTGTCTTCCTCATGGAGCTATTTGTCCTCCTTCACGAGCAGTGGTGCCAAAAGCTGGTAACACTGACGTAGTTGCACGCTAGGTATTTAGCAGCCCAATAATAATGGACGTCCTTGATTACCCATGGGTTTACGCAGACCTTTCAAGTTGACGGAATCCTGTGCTATGAATGGGTCTGTCAGGCCGTGGTACGGGGTCCAGTATGTGTCACACAGTGAACACACACCTGCATGCAGTCTGACGTGGTAGGCGGTAGCATGGAAGATGTGCATGTCTGTCTGCCAGCTCGAGCGAGCCTGGGGAAGCCAAACGGTAAGCATCTGGTGGGGAGAAGTGCCTCCCCCAGCTGTAGCAGAGCACTGCAGCTTCTCCGATGCTTCAGCACTCTCACGCTGGAGTAGGTCCTTACTATTTTTTTCTATGAGGTACAGACGTTACAGCAGAGCTGGAGACTGAGGGAATGTGTCGTATGCCCAAAGCTTGAGATCTGGCAAGCCTAGCACAAAAAGGCTATCAGGCTATCCAGCTGGGTCAGGAAGCCACCCCCTGCCCCTTTCTCAGTTCTGTTGATGTCAGTGGGGCCTCCTGGTGATACTCCAAGAGGAAGTAATTGTTTTTAAAAAATGGGGAAAAAAAACCCAACAACCCAGCCAGGGTGGAAAACCAGAAGTTGGGAATTACTGTAGCTGTTTTGCCAAAACTTGGATTCCCGGTAATTAGCAGTCATTAAGAAAAGCAGTACACTCTATGATCTAACCTCAAATGATCAAATGATTCTTAATTAAGAGAAAATTATTTCCTGATCTAAGCAGAATGGGAAACTGTAGTAGCAGCTTATATTGTGACTTATCAAAACTGACTAGGGTATGATTTAAGTAACTTTAGCTGCTATCAAATATGGAACAACTGATGAGTTTGAAAAGAAAATTCTTTCGATAAAAGTAAAATCTCACATCTACGAAAAAACAATTCTCTAAACAGGGAAATGCAGCACGTTCTCACTCTGATATGAGACAGTAAGGATGTTGCACCATAACCTCTAGTGCACGTGAATGCTGTCTGCTGTTGTGACCGACTTGCACATGGTGCACCCTGGGTTCTTACTGCTGACATACTGGTAGTCCATTGCACTCAAGTGAATTAAAAGTGCATAAAGAATTCATTAGTGCTGGAGATAGGCTATATAACGTGGATATCATCAAAAAGCGTACATATACCTGTCTATAATTTTAAAAATTGTGTCTATGGCTTTTGCAGACCTGCATAGGTATAGGCACAAAGTATATGTTGTATAGACTCAGGAACTGAGTGCAGTGCAAATGTCAGCTTTGCAGACTCAACAACAGAAGGGGATGTTGGAAGAATATTTTAGACATTTTAAAACTGTACTGGAACATGTCTTGGATCTTAATGCATGGAACACTGGACTCTGAAATACAACCCGCAAAGAGATTTAGGCACCAGAGCTGCTTTTTCGTGTGCTCCAGTAGTAGAATCCAGAAATGAGAATTAGATGTTTAAACCTTGTGTTCAGCTAGCATTCACCACAGAGGAGGGAATCGCCTAGAGAAGGCCAGGAGAGATGCATATTTAAAGTAAATCCTAACTCCTGTCCTCTCAAGTCTCAGGCATTTTATTCCACAGTGTCATAGAGTACATCCAAATTACTGTATTTTGCGTAGAGCCAAGTCAGAGTGAGTTGAGGAAATGCCTCAGTTCTTGGATTCTGATTGTATCAGGAAGTAAACTTCAGCTGTGTCAAGGCTGAGGTGTTTCTGGGCATTTACAGAAGCAAAATTTAAGCGTCGAGGGGGGACTTCTGGAGCTCAGGTTATAGCTGAGAAGGGATTTGGGGGACTGCAAGTTTGTATTGTACTGCTGAAATTGTGATAAAGTTGGCCTGTATGTCCCTTCTTTTTTATCTAAGCCGTATGAAGGAAGACTTCTGTAAGCTCTAATAGCTTTAAAGTGATCTAAAAGGTCAGCATGTATACATATAGATGAGCATGTGCCTCTTAATTTGAAAGAATATAGGGCTTGGGGAAAGGGAGAGTTGCCCTTTATCACTAATTATGTTCGTGAGTTGCTTGAAATTGCAAGCAGCTGTGAAAACATGTCCAGGTTAAGCTCTTGGATGGCTTTAACACTGTTATCTAAAGTTACTGTTATCAGTGCTCGTTTCATGGTTCAGTGTTGGGTTTCATTTGTACTGAGACTAGAAGAATTAGATATGTATTGCAGCCCAGACTGATTCTGTTATTTGCTTTTCAGGATTTTCTTTTCCATGGGGCTACTTTTGTCTTTTATTTTGGAGCTTTTCTACTGCAAGCAGCAACTACATCTCTGCATCACTTTCCCCGCAAATTCAATTCCACCACACAAGAGAAGATTCTAGCTGATCATGAATATAACATAAGCATAGCAGCCTCGGTATGTATTTCACATATTTGTATGTGGGGAACAGAAGTCTGTTGTAAGCCCTTGTAGCCAACCATTCAACTTGGGAACTTCACAGCAAGCTGGAATAGAAGGAGGAGCTGTGAGAGAAAGGATTGTCTTTGAGAGCAGCGAATAGTGTCTAACAGTGACATGCAAAAAATATTGGAATAAGCTAATGCTAATGTGATAGGTGCTCAGTTGCTAGTCTTCACGATAGTGTTTTAAATATATGATTACTACAGCTTATAATTTTTAGATGAGATATTTTGTAAAGGCAATGTTGGTTATTAGAATAGCAGAAAAAGATAACAACTGAGCCTTCATCAAAGCATCAGTTGTGAATTTCATGCCTGTGCTCAAACTTTCAGTTCCTTTTTTATACCAGTTAGATAGTCCTGAACATGCCGTGGGGAAAAAACCTTGGACTAGCTCCTTGTGAAGCTCCAGATACGTACTTACTACGTCAGGCATAAAAGTTATCTGTAAGGGCCCTGCTGTCTCTTATGGCAAGGATTAGAGTGCTTTTATTGCTAGCCTAAGCTCAGGCTGCATTTTTCTCACTGTGGTTGCATCATCACTGAATCACTGTATCTAGTGATGTGGGTGTGCATAGCTGAGTCAGAATATGTACCAGGCTCTAGCTTTCTCCCTGGCTGGACTCCTGAAGGGCAAGTAGAGGTGTGCCAGGCTTAACTTAGGCTTAACTTAAAGAACTGAAACTACTGCTCTTATTTTTTTGTACCATCCAGAGGGTCTTGCATACCTCGGGGAACTGCATATATTTATTAAGCTTCTAAAACACCCTGTGGGTATCTGTTGTCCTTAAAACTAAATACACCATAAATTTTGCACAGTAAACACCTTCAGTTCATCTTAAGATAAAAACAGATGAATGTAAGGTGTAAGGTTCACAGTCTTTCTGCAAGAGGAGAATAAAAAGGAAAGGCCTTTTGCTTTGGCAAGCCAGTCTCTGAAGGGGTGAGGTGGGCACGTCAGTCTCCCAGTCCAGAGTGCCTCACCATTACCCACTTGGCAGTAACACGCTCGAGCACACACGAGCACATCTGATCCCTGAACGGCCAGATGGCACAAGGACAGAGGTGGTGTCTCAGAGCTGTGCCTGAACTAAGGGAGGGCTTTATACTACGCAGGTATCTCAGATTCTACCCTTAGGTGTAGCTCTTCAATCCTTGTTCAGTGTGTTCAGATCCCCCTCAATATATGGTCACTTCAGTCATTTTGTCTGACAACAGCATACCGGGGACTCTGAGAGACCCTTTCCCCCTTCCATACTAATTTTCCAAGGGAGAATTCAGTTCTTCAAGCCCCTCAAATCCCTTTCAAGATAGGGGAGGAGGAGACTCTTTTGTAACTTTCCTCAGTATTTTTAATTAAGAGATGCTGGGAAATGGTGACTCAGATAACTGTAGTCTTTAGTGTCTTTGCATTTTTTCCAAAAGTATATAATTAGAAAGTCAGGACACACAGAAAAAAATTGTAATCCTTTGAAACACTTCATTAAAACAGTCTCGTGATCTACATGGAAAAAAATAAAAGGTTGCTAATATTTTGTCTTTTAACATTACTTTTGTATACTATGATTAAAAATATATATGTTCATTTTATATGGGTGTTAGATGCTACACCGTAGAACTATTCAAAACTTTAATTGTCAAATTAACACTTGTATGGAAAGCAAGGGATAGGTTGTTATGACATGATTGAGTTTGTATGTTCTGAGAGACACAATCCACCATTAGCACTGGACAGTATGAGAAACTATTTTTTTCAGCAATCAGTTTCTCATTTCTTCCTTCTGGTTTACATTATATAGTCAAGTTTGCTGTGGCATGACCTTCAGTTCAAATCTGTTCAATTCAGTTGTGGAGCAATAGCAACTTCCTGGCATTTCTCAGGAAGTTGTTCTAGTGGCTGGTAATCTGGTCAAGGAGGCCAGATTTGAAGCCGTTTCTGTATTTCTGCAAGTAAAAGAGTTCTGCTGTTGAGAGGGATGTCGTCTTAGTTGTTTGCTGGTAAAGGCATTCACTTGGACACAAAGCTGAGATTAATGTTTGATCAGTCTAGATAAGAGAAAATTGAAATACACAATGTACATACACACGTGATTACTTTGTACCATAACTTACGCAGACATTCTGTTTCATATTCTACTTCAAAATGTCTTCTGAAGCAAGCAAGGTAAAAGCAGTAACATGGGGTTATTACAGAGAGGTTTGTGAGAAAACTTCAGAGGATCCCAAACCTATCTTTACCTTAAGCATTTTGGCTGGGGGAGGTAACTTTTGAATCATTTGTGTTCCTGTATTCATTTAGAATAGAAAAAAATGTAGAACAATATAATGTGTGATTCACTTTTTTCTTTTTTCTTCTTTTTTTCCTTGCTCCTCCTCTAGATTTTTGCCTTTGCAACAGCTGTTTGTTATGGTTGCAGCACAGCCCTGGCATTAAGGAGATGGAGGCTATAGCAGCTGAAGAGAGGTTAATGCCTGAGTGTTCCACTTCAGATCACATTAAGTGCTACTTGTCTGTTTTACTGTAATGTAATTCCAAAAAGACTTTTTTTGCTTAAAATCTGTTTTAAAGTGCTGAAATACAACTAACCCCCTAATCAGGATTTCCTTAACGGAAAACAAGTTTCCATCTCTTCCCTTTCTAATTTTTACTTTTATTGTGTACTCATTAGAAGCTATTCTAATGAACAGTGCTAATTCTAGTGCTAAATTCTCATGCTAAATCAGAAGAGGAAGAAAATGGAAACTAAACTAACCTGTTAACTGCACAGGCAGCTACAAAGCTCCCCCCTTGTTAAGTCCTGGGATTGGGCCTTAAGCGTTCTGCAGCGTTACATTGCGTTCCACACAGGGAGGGCCTTGAGGCTCCTTGTAGAGTCATGGGTTTTCTGTGTGCTGCTCCCTGCGTGATCAGAGCCCAAGCTGACTTTGTGATGGCAACTTAGTATATATATTATTAACTTCGATGTACAGAGAAAATATTTTAAATATCCATCCAGTGAAATCTTTTGATACTCTTTTATAGCCATATCCACCTATGGTCATCTGATCCTTAAAGCTCACTGTATTCCTTAGTAGATGGAAACTGTTTGGGACTGTCAGTCAGTAGTTTATTAGTTTTAGAAATTTAGCTTAATCGGGTCTATTTATACTGCAAAACAAAACAGTGCATTTGTGTTGCGTGTGTATATACATGGTATATTTTTGTTTAATATTTGCACTGTTTTACTTTGTTGGAGTACAGCTTTGTTTTTGTTACTTCAAGTGCTGCATTTGTTAATTATGTGAGTCAATGTCATTTGAATGGAATGTTACCAAATGGTGAATAATGTCTGACCTCAATTCTTACAGCGTGTTATTTGTTGCATTCTAAACCTGCAGTGTTGTAAAGGTGTTTTTATTTGGACAGACGCCTATGCAGCATCTTACTGAAAGCAGTGGAATGCAAAGCAGTCCACCCACTATGGAGTTTGCTTTTGGCACGAATGAAGTTTAATTGAGCCTCTCTTGAATACCCCTGTTGTATAATGACATGCGATATTATATATAGAAAATTAATTTAACAAAACTAAACGATAGCATTGCGCTCTGCTCCCTAACACTCATGCCGTTTTGCAGACGGTGAAACTTCTTTTTTTTAATAATGCTAGTAAATAATTTTTGCTCTGGTGAATAGTGCCAAATTGATAACCTGGGAGAATAGAGGCTCCCTGTCACTTGTAAAACAACTTGCTCGCCACATCTTGCCGGCACACCTGAATCTTCTGCAGAGACCAGCAGTGGTTGTGTAAGGGAAGACAGGACTTTGTTCGTTCCCAGGCCTACTCATTCTCCTTGAGCCAACAAGGGTGTCTGCTATGAAGGTTACTTTATCAAACGTGTCAGGTACAAGGTTCTCTGAGAACCAGCCACCCTCGGTAGTGCCCTGCAGTCCCTGCTGACCCAGGACAGGATCTTGTGGATTACACAGCAGTGAGGGCCAGCCCTTCTGACTACTGGAACCTCTCAGTCATCCTGAATTACTGCAGTGGGATGTTTTCGTATATCTTGTTTTCTGAAATTTTTATCTTCCAAAGATTTTGTACTCTGGCTGATTTTTTTTTTTTTTTTCTAATTCTCTACTTGCATTGCAACTTGTTTTGTGAACGTTTTATCTAGAGCCATATACTTTTAAAAAAAACTTCATATTGTATAGAATACATTTACACTGGAGTATATGGATGAAAGTATCTAACAAAAACTTATGCTAAGCAGCATTAAAGTTACTTGGTATATTTATGGCAGTAGCCTGGTTATTAATTCTGTCTTTGGAAAGTATCAAAAAACTACCTTGCAACTTTGACCTGATGCTAGACATTCAAAATGAAGGCTAAGATTTCTTGAGAAGGCACAATTACATTGGTGCTGGTTTTGTGTAGCGGTTCACCACGTGACACAGCGTGAATATTAGTGAGGGGAAGAGTAAGGTCAGCTACAACAACATTGCAAATGGGCAGTGGTCTTTGGTGTGGTTTCTGCTTAATCCTGCAGCCTGGATGTGCGCTGCACACCACAGCCTATGCATGCCGCAGCTACAGTCCCTGCAGCCAGCTGGGATGATGGGGGAAAGATCTTAACTCGTTGCCTATTTAAACCTACACAGTCTGAATCCCACGCCTGGTGTCAATTAAAAAGCTGTCCCAGTTTAGTTGGCATTTGTGTCTAACCTCTGAGTTCAAACCTGAGGTGTAAAGATGATTGATGGGTGCTACTCAAGTCTCTTAAGCTACCTGTAGAGGTCCAGAGAGCAGAGTGTAGTTAGCATAGCATGGAAACTGTTTGTACAGTGAGGAAAGGCTGAACTTTCCCTCTTAAGTATCAAAGAGAAATAAAGGGCAGAGAAGAGATAAAGGTAAAAACTACAGTAACGAAGAACGGCTTTCATAGCTACAAAGGAATGAAAGAATGGAAATTTTCTGTTAGTATGCAAGGAGTTTTGCTGTACTTTGAGGAAGATCTAAGTAAGGACACACAAGAACAAGCAGTTACATTCTTTCAAAAAAAAAAAAAAAAAGAAAAAAAGCCAGTAGTTCATTTCGTATTGCTTTATACAGAGGGCTAAAAAGATAGGTGTGACTCAGAAATGGTATGTGTGTGCTGGGATGTCTGTATGCAAATACCGATATGAGAATAACATGTAATCCTTATAGGTGATATATGCAAGCTGGTCTAATAAATCTCGCTCTTCCCTGTACAAAAATTCCCCCAAGCCTATGACCTTGAAGAACACAAGCTTAGACCTCTCCGAAGAATGGAAAGAGTAGGGGAGGACATAAGGAGATAATTTATCTCAATGAATTTAAGGTGAAAGGAATGAGACCACAGATGCCAAATAGTGTTTTCATCCAACATCTCTGTTTGATGTGAGGCTGCAGTGCAGGAATATCTAAGATACCATGCAGGTCCCTACTCTTAGAATATGTTTCATGGTATTTTGGATACCACTGTGTAGTAGCTGCTGGTAAATAAGCTCTCTCTAAGGAGGCTTTCTTTCAAAGGGTGCAGAGAGAAGCAACAGTTTGTTGCTTATTGCTAAAGAGAAATGAAACTACACGTTTTAGAAAGCTAAAACTTTGTTAGAACTTGCTTGGAAAATGTGCACAAGTGCTTCACAGAATTCCTGACTCTGCTTCCATCTCGCTGAATGCCTAGGAATAACCCACGGTGACACAGGTCCTGCAGTGATTGTTGGTATGTAGGGGATCAGTCTGTTCAGATGCTCGTGGAGTCTCTGGCTGTGTACGTTAGTTATACCTCCTGACGTGAGTAAAGTTACGCCACTGTAAAATGCGGCCTTAAAACACAGCTGTAAAACAGCTGTAAAAGGTGAGAGAGGCAGAGCCAGTGATCACACAAATCTGTGCCCTTCATAGAAGGTTAAAGAAAAAACACTGGAAAATCACTAGACCAGTGTCATCTTTGTCTTTAGCTTCCAAAACCAGTGAAACCTCTCTTTAGCTTCCAAAATGCTGACTCCCGTTGCACTTCCTCTAATCATTGTGTTTTTGCATTTCCTTTATAACTTTAAAAAATGTTGACATTGATCATTTTCCCATCTGAACTTGAAAAAAAATAATGTTAAGAGAGCTTAAAACTCTGATAGCTCGTTTGTTCCATTTTTATCTGTATACTGTGAACTGGTCTCTGAACGCTGGTATCCTGATGCGTCTCGCGCTCCGTTGCCAGGCTGTCCAGGTTGTACAAGAAAGGCTTCCTGGGTCTTGTCTGTGGACCACGAGTTCTCAAACTGAGACGCAAATAAGACATTGCTCTGTTCAATCTTACAAAAAGAAAAATTTGAAAGTGAGAGCATGTTGTAGTTCTTTCTTAGCTGTATTTTGTACAGCTGGTCATGACACGTTGGTCTTTGTTGAGACACAATGAAAACCATCAGAAGAAAAAGCAAGTCTGATGTATTAAAATCAGTAAACAGCAATGGAAAGTATTTACATTTTTTTTTAGAAGTTGAGTTCAGCACGACGGTTCCCCTTTCTCCCACTGGGTTAAGTTTCTTTTGGTCCATTATGGTGCTTATCTAAACCCCCTTCTACCCTGAGCAGCTCAGAATTTACTGTGTTTCCAGGTGCTCCTGCAAAGAGGAGAGATGCTATTCTGATTTCACAGGTGGGAAACTCGGACACAGAGACCCGAAGCAACTTGTTTGGCAAAGGCCTCGCACGGGAGATCTGTCGTGGAGCAGGAGGAAGAAACCAGGTTCTCAAGTGAGAGGTCAGTGCCCATCCTGCTCCCCGCTGTGGGCAGGAGGGAAGCAGTACAGCGCCTGTTGGGTGTGACCCATCCCTCTTGTGTCTCTGTCATGGTGGTATTACCCTGGCAATTAGTTACACGGGGTTAAAAGGTAGAATGACTGTTTGTGAAGGATTATGAGTCAAAGGGAGGCTTAACGTGCCAAACTGGCATTTCTAGATCAAACATCTTAGTTTCTGGGTGTTCTGACCTTAAATTTTGATTATCCAATTGTAAATAGGCTGCATAGAGTTCCTGTCTGAGGTGTTGATCTCTCTCCTGCATCTTAAGAGAGGAAAGAGGTCCTCAGGAATCTGCAGGTTTCAGCTGCTTCCTGCTATACAACATGTTTGAACCCTAAATTCTTGGCGTTAGCAAAATATTACCTGCCTTAAGCCTGCCGGGACACAGCACCTTTCAGTTCAGAAACCTGAGCTAAGTTTTGGCAACTAACTTGTCAAGCTACCTTTCAAGGGAACACAATGATCAAGTCAGATTATGTCTAGGTGTGGTTTTAACACCTTTCTTGCTGTGGGATTATTGCAAATATCTAGAAGGATTCTGGAGACTGTGGACAAAATATTTATATGCTTATTTCGAGCACATCCAGTGTCAGACCTCTTGTGCTGGGTCCAGAGAGGTTCTTGTGCAAGGACTGAGGCCGGTGG